GAGGGAAGGGGCATGGGGGAGGGAGGGAGGGATTGGGGCTGGGACAAGCTGCCCAGCCAGGGCAGGGGGGCATGTTACTCTCTCTGGGCAGAAGGGGCAAGTGCCTGCAGGGCAGATCCCCTTCTCCCAGCGCTGCTGCACCCACATCAGGCCCCAATCCCTCCCCCATGCCCCTTTCCTCCTCCAACCCCAACAGACTTACTAGCTGGAGGCAGCTGTGTCAGCTACCTATTTAGTCTATGGCCGAATCTCCAAAACAGTGTCAAATCTTTCAGATCTGATTTGGCCAAATTGAATCAGGACAGTGATTCAAATCTCCAAATCAAATCACTGTTCTCTGAATCGGCTGGATCCAAATCTAAGGTGAATATCTGCCACTTCACACAAGTCTAGAAATAATGTATAGCACAGGAATAGCACAGGAAATGCTTCCCAGAGAAAAGGCACTGTGCTGTGGGGCATAGGGATATGTTATGAAGACTTGTCTGGTTAAATGTAGACTATCCTGGAAGCTAATGAATTTTTAAAACTTCCTACTGTCAAGGAGCATGCAGGTGTTAATGGTGATAAAAGACAAAACTAGTAATTTGCTCACTTCCTGGGGCAGTTCTGCTGATCAGAACCTTGGAGATGAATGGATGTGTATAAACCTTTCTTTACCACCTGCACAAGGATGGCATAAAAGTTTAAAAGAAAAAATACCTATGAGTTGTATGTAAACTGGCCCAGACACTGGCTGTCCTAGAAGTAACAGCAAGTAACCTCCTTCCATCATTGTAGAGTGTACCAACAGAATGGGTCCTTCACCCAAGAGGAGAGGTATACTTCAAAGGTTGTCCATTACTAGGGTTACAAAGTCCAGTAAAAACATTTATGCTACACATTTTGTTCCATTATTGTTAAGCCACCCTGAGCCTTTGTTGGAAGGACAGCATATAAACAAATGAATAAATGCAAAAAATGTTATATTATGTATTTGTACTTACACTTAACAAAGTACTTGTCTCCATAGTATTCTCTGACTTCTGAAGACAGCCGATTCCAAAGTTTTAATAGATCTTTTTCAATAACCTCTAAGCTAGTCACACCAGTCTTAAAGAACCCAGGTTCAATAATGCTCACTTCTACTCCAAAATGCTGCATGTCTCTCCCAGAAAGGAAATAAAATTTCTTTTTTCATCCTAGAACTTGCAACAATTATGTGTTCTTTATAACCATTGTGAGAGCCTGTAGTTTTAGAACATCTAAATGGAAATATAGACATGTTATTTTTAGTTATGCCAAAATAAATATCTCAAACGTCCAAATTATTGCAGAAAAGAGTATTTGCTTTCTTCTAAAACCTATTGCAGGAAAATACTCACTGCAACATGAAGCAGACAATTTAGTTACAAGGAACTTTGAATGCAGCAACAGATATGGTAATGTCTTTTCCACGTGGGTTTGCTTAGGGAACAGAGATCGGATCTACGCCCATATCTATCTGAAAACAAAACACAACTGCACAAATTTATTTGACTTGATTAGAAGCCTAAGCTCTGTCGGTTTCATTAATTAAATGTTCCTATGATGCAGGTTAATTTAATTTCTGGAATATGATGGGAAAGAGCAGATGTTTAGAATATATATTTTGAATTACAAGGCAGCTTCATCAGCATGAAAATTGTATCTTTGCCCCTGGGGCATCCTCTGGAGGCCAGATTTAGAGTTGGCTCAGGCAGGTGCTTTTCAAAGAACACAGTGGAATAAAACTCATTTACACTAGCTGTTAATTTGGTCCCTGGAGTATATGCTCCTTTATATGAAAGTTCACAATTGCTCGCAGTTGGCTTCAACAGAAATTATACCTGCCTATTGAGAAGCATCTCAACCTCCTGAACCATACCTCTGGTGGTTGCATGTGCTATTGTCTTCAATGAGGATCTGTTCCCCTTCAGTTTAATATACAGGAGTTGCGTTCAAGTGTCTTTGACTAAGGTGCCTAATTACTCCTGAGAATCACCTGGGTTTAGATTATTGTGGACAGTTAGTGCAGGAAAAAATGGGCCAAAGATAAAATTGGCAACAGCAGAGCTTAGAAGCAAGACAGGTTTGGTTGAAGCTATTCATAACCCACAGAGCAACCATTTTATCTTGAAATAGTTAGGGACCAAATCCCTGCAGGTATCCTTACAGGAAAATAGTCAGAAATGATGAAGAAGAGAACTTGAGCCAGTTATAAAATATAGTTAAATACTATATATTGCCTGATGGAATTGCCAGTGCATTCATATCAAAAGGAATTATATGTGCAAGTGAAGAGCAGTCTACTGACACTTTCAAAAATGGCTAAGCAAAATAAATGAAAGGATAGTTTCTTGGTTAATTTATCATCAGATTTTTTTTAAGAAAGCAGTAAAGTCCCAGGTAACTGGAATGGTTTCTGAATATAGTGGATTTGATAATAGTTTTAGTGACATAATTTTCTTCTACAGGCAAGAGTTTTTGTGGGTGAGCATCTTTTATTAGCCCAACTGTATGGTTGAGATTAGATTTAGACAAACTTTTTGGCATATCACGGTAACCACTGATGGCCCACAAAACTCTTCCCTCTTCCATATTTCCTGGACCATTATTCCAACAATATCACTTCAACACTACCGTAATTTTCTTCTGATTTTTTTGCCTAGACTTCTGCCCTTCCATGTATACTAAGTACTGTTAAGTCAGGAGTGTAGTAACTCTGCTTTCTCTTCAGATCGTATACATTTTTCGCCTTTTACTAGAGCTACTACAGCAGGAGATCTAAGGTGTTAAATATGCCAGATTTTGACCCTAAATATTGGAGTCAAAGCTGCATCTCCTATGTGTTTATACAAAAAGACTTTGGCTGTTAAGAAATGAGAACAAGGAAGGAATTATGCTCCAAATTACTTCTCCCAGATGTGGCCAAATTTAAGCTCTGAAGGAAGGAACCAAAATTTGGATCAGATCCAGGATTTCAGAGCTTTTCTTTAACCTCTTGTGGATTGAACCACAAATTCAGATGTTGACACCTGTGAAGTGTAAAGCATCTGGAATCCAGTCCCAGATTCAAAATCATGTGAACTCACCATAAGATGTCAGAGAAGGCTTCCACACCCCACTTTGATAAGCAGTAGCCACCACCTAAAAATGCCATGTGGCCCATTACACTGGCTATATTGATTACTCTTCCTTTGGCCTTTTTCAAAAGTGAAAGAAGCTTCAGGATGATTTCAATTAGACCCATCAGATTGACATCGAGAATGGTATGGGAATCTTCTATCTGCATCCAGTCAGTGGGTGCCACAGGTGTTGCTCTTCCAGCATTGTTTACCAAACCAACGAGCATTTAGGAGAACTCCAAAAATATGGCTTCTAATGTATGGCAATATCACACCAATGAGTGGGTTTGGAGATCCAGCTTGTGGGGATGGAACGCTACAGTTTGCACTGAGATCTGATGAAGCATGTCTTGCATTCAAAAGCTTGTCTGCCCTTATTGTAACCATACAGTTGGTCCAACAAAATTGATCACTACCCTGCCCCTCACCCCCCCAAAAGTTCAGAGAAGGAGTTTTGCAGTTTAACAAGGTGGATGTAGCTGGATAGTTTTCCCTAAGTACCTGAATATATATTACAGCTGACAAGCTTTCTTTCACCTTCCTAAGGCCTCAAAAAATTATATTAAGCCAATAGCAGGTAAAGAGTTCATGGAGAAATGATTTCAGTTGGGATTATATCAATGGTTATTTCTGAATATGTTGACCTAACATATCTCTGTTATTTTAACTGTCAAATGGGCATTAAAATATTTATCTAGCTTTTGTAAAGGACTTTGAGAATGACAGATAAACAGTAATACACAAGTGTCATATTATTAACATGTTTACAGAATCCTGCTCAGGGCAGCCTACTTCAAGAGGGAGAAAATAGTGCAGCTGACTTATTTATTCACTGGCTGATTCCTTGGCAGAGACGGCTACAGGGGCATGTGAGTGCAGTTGCCTCTCCCATGAAGATGGGGCTGAGAACACGGTGCTCGTCACGAATGGTAGGTGGAGCAAAGTCCCTGAGGGGAGGCATTCTTGGTTGTCTTTCACAATTCCCTCAGAGCAGTACTTAGCTTGACCCTTATAATACATGTACTAAAAAGTCAGCAAATAATTATATAAAAATATAAATTAATAATTTATTTAAAATAAAGGGAGAAAACCCTATTAGTAAAACATGTTCATTTGCTGTTGGTTCTCATTGATCTGCGCTGTTATTTTCTGGGTGTCTGCTTCAACTGCACATACTATGCTCTGTTCCTTCTTTGTCTTTGTCCTACGCACAATAACAACCCTGCACTCAGCGTTTGCTTTCAAATGCTAATGTGAGGTTAAGAAAGGAGGAGCCCTTGTCACAGCAGAATACATTCTGTGGTCTGGGAACCAAAAATGGCTTTTTCCTATTTTCTGCCAATAGCAACAGTCAAATAATATTTTAGACACTCTCCTCCTGGGTACTCAGGAGCACGTGCCTTACCTCTTTCACATCAGTGAGCTCACTGATACACTCAATATCAGCAGTGTTCTCTAGCATGAAGTAGCACCCCTGTAGTAATAGCTGTAGGAAACCAGTTAGAATGACTGATGTGGGCAAGTGCCATTGGGCTGTTAGTGTCAATGTGATCTTTACATGACTCTTACAGTCTCTTTCACACAGACAAAACCACCCCTTTCCTTTCCCAAAGGAAGAGTAAGCAAGCTCTTACTCTTAGGTATTTCTAATTGGCTGGCTAATTTTTACGGCCAAAAAAGGTTAGTTGTGTTCTCATTGGTTCCAATGAATATTCCTACAAGCTATGTTCCAGATTGAGAGAGGGAAGCCCGGTGGAAATTGCATTTGGGGTAATGGGAAATACAGTGATAGGTACTAAATCAACTCCTAAGGTAGATCTCTAGACCTGAAGTATGAACAGTCTTAATCAGTACAAGGAATATTCCTCTGCACTAATTATGGGAGGTGTCATAAACCCACAGTGTTTTTAGATGATTGTGGAATGTCATGCATGTTTTTCAAATTTAAATAATCTGAAA